TGGGTGGTCATGGCCAGCTCAATGTCACTCACGTTGAGGGGTGCTTCTCCTCGCCTGGCTTCTCATGACTGTGGGGATGCTGTAACAGTTGTAAGTGTGAAAAATGGTCACAAGTCACTTTTTTCAGTGCCATTGTAACTTTGAATGGTCACTAAATGAACTATTGTAAGTCAAGGATTACCTGTACAAAAATGCAAAGAGCTTCTTTGCTTGCAAAAAACTGCCCTAAATACCAATCATTAGATTAAAAATACTTGCAAGCCGGAGTTACAAATCAGGCAGGGTGCCAGAGCACCTTGAGGAATTAAAATAGTTAAAATGCAATGATAACTATCAGCAGCCAATTCTTGTTCATAAAGTGAAATCCAGAGGTTATTTAAGCTCTCCAGAAAGAGCACACCCAGGAATAGCAATCCTTAGAACCTTTTGCAACACTTAAAGATAGCAGCTGCTCACCTCACAAGATATCCTAAGGAAATTATCCAGGTTTAAGGAAAGGTCACATGCCCCCCAGAAAGGCAGTAAAAAAATCAGTGCCAAGCTTGCATCCTGCCTCTTGGAAGTACATCCCAAAAGGACAGTGCCAGGAACTACTAAAGCAGTGAAGGAAGACCCCCTCCCCAGATAGAAAAAGAAACCATGAGGCAGGAAAAAGTTCAAATACAATACAAATAATTAAATCAGTATCTGTTGCTTGTTAAACCAATTACAGAATAAATAGACACAGGAACTAGCCAGATTTCTCAACCCAGTTTCTTTTCAGGAGCACAGATTAAACTTTTTTCCTTCCAAACAAAGCTGAATAGGGAAAATTATCCCATCAATAAACACAGGATTTAACTTCACCAAAAACCAGTTTTAGACCAAAACTCAGAAAGGGTTTGTAACCACACGTTTGAATGTCAGTCTTCTAGCTAGCCAAGAAGTCTTGCTGAATGTCATTCATCTTGGTTCCTTGTCATTAAAAGCTCCTTTCCAGTTGTTCAATTATTTCTTCAAAGTGCTGATTGTTGCATGTGGCTGGAAGTATATCCAGGGGAGTATCTCCTCCCAACAGCAGTGTAAAAAGCTTAAAATAACCCTTCCCCTTTAAGAAAATAAAAAAAAACCTCCTTCAGAGACAGTAAGTCTAGGCATACTGCCAAGAATGTAATAAGGGTAGAAAAAAAACAAAAGGGGATTTCTTCTAACTACCTGTTCTCAGAACTGCTTAGAAAGTTAACAAGGGGTTCTATAGGACCAGTCAGAACCAGTAGAATCCCACCCCTGGGACCATCTAATCCCAGTAGGATTAACCCATCTCACCCATACCAGCAGAGTAGGCAGGCTGCAGGATCTGTTGGCCTGATTATTCCATCTAGTGGGGTCTCTGTCGTTGCACTTGCCCTTCTGTAAGAGACTAAACATATGGCTCTGCCAGTTATCTTAGGGTTCCAATGGGAAAGTATCACACTGGAGGTGTTTGATTGATTAATAACAAATCCCATCTTTCTCCCACCTATCCCTGCCCTTCCCATCTGTGATTGGATTTTAGCAGTTGGCATTGATGTTAATGCCACTTTATAATGCCTTGGTAAGACCACACTTGGAATAATGCATCCAGTTTTGGTCACCACCAGAGGTGGTATTCAGCAGGTTCTGACCAGTTTAGGAGAACTGGTAGCGGAAATTTTGAGTAGTTCGTAGAACCGGCAAATACACCTCTGACTGGTCCCGCCCACATCTATTCTCTGCTTCCTGAGTCCCAGCTGATTGGCTGGGTCCTCTTTTGTTGCCCTGCACAGGAGAATGGAGCTGGAAATCAGGTCAGTGGGGTGGGGAGGGAATGGAATCTTGCAGTATCCTTCCCCTGGAGTGGGTTGGGAATGGAGACTCACAGTATCCTTCCCCTGGAGTGGGTTGGGAATGGAGATTTTACAGTATCCATCCCATGCCACTCCCACCAAGCCACACCCACCAAGCTATGTCATGCCCACCAAGCCACACCCACAGAACCAGTAGTAAAAATTTGGAATCCTACCACTGGTCACCGCAATGTAAAAAAGCTGTTGAGACTCTGAAAAGAGTGCAGAGGAGCAACCAAGATGATTAGGCGACTGAAGGCTAAAACATACGATGAATTGTTGCAGGAACTGGGCATGGCTAATCTAGTGAAGAGAAGGACCAGGGGACACATGATAGCAGTGTTCCAATATTTGAGGAGTTGCCACAGAGAAGAAGGGGTCAAGCTATTTTCCAAAGCACCTGAAGTCAGACAAGGAATAATGGATGAAAACTGTACAAGGAGAGATTCAACCTGGAAATAAGGAGAAATTTTCTGACAGTGAGAGCAATCAACCAATGAAGTAGTTTCCCTTCAGAAGTTGTGAGAGCTTCATCATTGAAAGCTTTCAAGAAGAGCCTGAACTGAGCCAATTGTATAAATTTTATAAATAACTTAAACAACTTTTTTATCCAAGTCTAATATTACATTCAAAGCACAAGGCTATTTGTTATCAATGTTTCTTACGTCATTCTTTGCTAAACAGTACACCATTATAAATCAACGTGTGCATAAAGAAATTTCATTGTATTAAGAGCTTGAAAGCATAGAAAAGAAGCTATTATGAAATCTAAATCATATACAAAAACTGATATTAGGACATAATTTGATAGAGTAATTTTTGTTTCTTTTTCATTGCTTTGTAATACATTGTGTTCATGTGACATACTTTTTCCACATTTCTTCCAATGATGGCAAAGTTTTCATGCAATGCTTATATAATTTAAGTGCTGATAGTTACTTAGGAATGTTGACAACAATCATATCCTATGAATAGAGATAACTCCAGTATACCTGCCACCAGTGTACATTCAAATATCATGAAAAATATTACTTATTAGAGTAATAATTACTCATTGATAGAAGTATTTCATCCATTCACTTATTGTTAGTTAAAAACCTCCCTGTTTATTAGATTCAAGTTCTAATGCATATTTATTTGGAAATGGTGAATAATTGAGGTTGAAATCAAATTAATTATCCCATTTACTACCACCTTAATTGCACTAATATATCATAGAGATAATTTTAAAATATCTGCACAGACCAAAACTCTGTGATGTGTCACATTTAATTCAATTAATACATCAGCTCCTTACTGTAATGTTGATATCAGTCATTTAAATCACAAGTAATCAAACAAAAAACTCACCCATACACTCTTTTTCCTATGGTTCTTCTGGAAGTGACATACCTCCTTCAATTATACTACTTAGAAAAAATTTTAAAAAGTGAAATAAGCTTGAAAACTTAAAACAGGTCACTTACTTTTCTTTAAAAATGAATGGACTGCAGAATAGGACTGCAGAAAAAACAATTACTACCAACCTGCCTTCAATCGAGGACCTGTATACTGCACGAGTCAAAAAGAGGGCTGTGAAAATATCTAGAGACCCCTCACATCCCAGATATAAATTGTTTCAATTCCTTCCCTCAAAACAACGCTATAGAGCACTGTACACCAGAAGAACAACAACGTCACTCTGCTAAAAGCCATCACTCTGCTAAACAAATAATTCCCTCAACACTGTCCAACTATTACAAAGTCTGCACTACTATTACTGTTAATCTTCTCATCACTCCTTATCACCCATCCCCTCCCATTTGTGGCTGTATGACTGTAACTTTGTTGCTTGTATCTTTACGATCTATATTGACTGTTTCCTAGTATGATTTGATTGCTTATTGTACCCTATGATTATCATTAAGTGTTGTACCTTATGATTCTTGATTCTTGATGAATGTATCTTTTCTTTTATGCATACTGAGAGCATTTGCACCAAGACAAATTCCTTGTGTGTCCAACCACACTTGGCCAGTAAAGAATTCTATTCTATTCTATTCTATTCTATTCTATTCTATTCTATTCTAT